TCTTCTCCCCACTCCAAATGGGATAAACTTGAAACCTTCGCGTGCCCCTTCAACCCCTTCAAACCTCTCTGGCTTGAACCGGGTAGGCTCATCCCACGAATTGGGATCCCTGTGAATGGCCCAAGCGTTCACCAACAGCGTTGTTCCTCGTGGAATGTTGAATCCGTCTACAACACAATCTTCTGATGAAAAATGGGGTAGAAGAAGAGGTCCAACTGGGAATAGCCTGAGTGTCTCATTGATGATGCAATGGAGATAACGTAGTTTAGAGAGATCAGAGTCCTCTAGAAGTTGCCCTGTTCCGACATGGTTGTCTATCTCAGTTCTCGCCTTTTGCAATGCCTCTGGATGATTCAAGAGAAGTGACACTGCCCATTCCATGGTAAGCCAGGATGTGTGTGTTCCTGCTGTGAACATTAACTGTGTACAAAAATTGAATTAGAAGATCCTCTGTTAGCAACAAAATCACTTCATTTATAATTCTTATAATTTATTAACAAATGAACAGGCCTCCTAGTGAAGGCTTGACTATAGTAACTAATCATGTATGCCTAGTAGCTTATACTTGGCATCCACTATCACCCAACACTAAAAATGCACTCCATATACTTCAGTGTTTGAAGTGTCTGTTAAAAAAATACAAAACATCTCATAACTAGGGGTGGGCAACGGTTTATCCGAACCGCTCAAACCGCCCAATCCGTCCAACCCGCATATAAATGGGCGGTTTCCCAAATAAAATGCAGGCAGATGCGGTTTGAAATATGATAAATTTGTGGGTTGCGGGCGGGTCGCGGTTTAAACCCGCAACCCGCAAAAACTGCTCGCACTTTAATTATTATTATTATTTTTTTTTTATATACCAACTTTGTAACTTTTACAGGAGCACCATTATATTCTCTATGATACTAGGATCCTTATTTTTAAGTATTTCTCAACTTTCTTAATGCCGTAGAATTATCAAGTCCTAAACTTGGTTTCTTATATGATTTTCATTGGTGATTCATCCACTTTTTCCTAATAAAATTTTCCTTCTAATGGTCGATAGAACTTATAGTTTGATTATCGATTACTGAACTGGCAATTCTAATTGAGTACAACCTTTAATGCATTGATATACATTTTTTTCATGGCAAAAATGTTAGTGTAGGGTCTCTTTGTTTTGGGTACTTTCATTTAATGCATTGATATTCAATTTTTATTTGTAAACTCATTAAAAAATTATTATCGCAAATATATAAAATGAATCTGATGCCTAAATTCGCTGGGAAAAAAAAACTCGAAAATTAATTTTTAAAGAAAAAAGTGTAAACCGCAAACCGCCCGCAACCGCCCGCACATTTGCAAACCCTATCCGCACAAACCGCAAACCGCACTGCGGGCGGTTGCGGGTTGACTTTTTCCCAAACCGCATAGATGCGGGCGGGTCAAAACCGAACCGCAAACCGCACAAAACCGATCCGCGAACACCCCTAAAAAAGGGTACCGAGAGCATTTTGTCATTTCTTACGAAAATCTTATGTAATCGGTTATATTAATCTGTCCAAATTGATTAAATTGAATTAATCTGTTACATTTTAGACGGATGCGTGATGACGAGCGAACGGTTACAGATTGATTTTTTCTAATCTGTCTAGTTTTGGATAGATGACGGATTTGAAGTTCCTTTAACAACAACCGAATCGCCAAACCGTGAGCACCCCTAGTAATTTATAAGATTTTGTGTTTTTAATTTGTTTAAATATTCTATTTGTGTTTTCATTTAAAAAAGAGTTTAAATATTCTGTTGAAAAATAGTTTTCAACTAGAATATATTTTTTGAATTGAAAAAAATAAATGTATTATTTATCTATATTTTTTGCTTTTTAAATCTAACTCTAAAAATAATAAATAAAAAAGATGATCTATGCTGGTTGGTTTTTGTTTTCAAAAACAAATATAGATGTAACAATACAGAGGCATACAATCTCTACTACTGCTCTGTTCATGGTTTTGGTGGTTTGAATTGTTTTTATATTTTACTTTATGTGGATGAGGCATGCTGTGATTGTAATATGTGAAATAAGACATGCAGTAATTGTAATACTTTTTTAAGTCATTGACTGTAATACTTTTTTTTCTTTTTTTTTTTTCGAAGAAGCGCATAAGTTGAATTATGTTGAAAATTTATAAAATTTTAAGCTACCAAACTGATTCGCATCCATTTTTCAATCCGCTCAATCCACATCCGTTGGATTGGCGGACGAATGCGGTTTAATTTTCTCCAGAATGGCTAATGGATGGCGGATTGGAGGTTTCGTGGCTACAACCGATCTGCGCTCACCCTTACTATTTACAAACTACTAATTTTTCTCAATATTCACAATTATCTTAATTTTTTAAACTATTACTATTAGCACCTTATCAATTATTTAGACTCTTTACTTTTTAACTTTTTTTTATTGCAATAATAATCTCAAGTAAAATTATTAAAAATGATATTAATAATTTTGGGATAACCCATTTCACAATTAAACCCACATACCTATTACATCATAAGTTAGGGTTTATGAGAGCACCTACCTCTATCACAACCTATCCATCTTCTCTAAATCTCACTTTCAAAACCTACCCACCCTCAAAACCTTAAAATCCTTTGGCCACAATATTCTGGTGACAACGGTGGCAAGTATTTAATTACTACACTTCTCCACCAATGACAATAAATAAAATTTTTTTCGGTAACCACAACTCCATGAGATGAGAGAAGTACAACAATAAAAGTTTATAAGAGGTTCATAGCTTTGATGTTGTTCTTATTTCAAAGAAGATTGGCCTTGTAAGAGTAAGTTTCTTAAAAAAAAAATGACAAAAATAATAAAAATTATTCATCATTTTTTTGGGATTGAACTCCCAAACATATTACCAAAATTCAGAAATACAGGCTTGAACATTGTTTATTTATTCAGGAACATGTAACTGAACATTTCTTATTTGTTCGAGAACAGATAACCGAAACAGCAGTAGAAGCAAACAAACAAAGGAGGTTAGACCACCCTTGGGTAGTCAATCAGGGCTGAAATCCTGCCCAGTTTTGCTCACACAAAGAGCATACAAGTATAGTGAGGCCATGGATGAATGATAGAAAACCAACCAGAGAAGCATGGAAATGGATTATGTTGTGTGCGTTGTAGACACCTCATTTTTGACCGACCTTAAGACTCAGACGTCATCGTCTGTGCACTCGGTGATTGTGCATGTTTGTGCTCGTTTTGAGTTTCTAGAGCCTTCGGCTGAGCGCTTTGTCTCGGGACGTCTTAACTTTCTCCTCTTGGCCTGGTTTTTGGACCATGCCTTGCTGCCTTTGCCTAGAGGGAAACAAAGGTCTGTAGGCCACTTTTTGTAGCCGTAGGCTACCTTTCCCTCTCGTAGGCCACTTGTAGTAGCCCGTAGACTAGTTTTCGGGATTTCCGGCTGAGTGCCTTGTCTTGCGGACTCTTGTCTGTCTTCCTTTTTGGTTTATTTTTGAACCAAACCTTGTTACCCCTTGCCTGGAGGGTGGAACAGGGGTGCAGACCACTTTTCTCCCCTGCCAGCCAGTTTTCACCCCTGTAGACCACTTTTGGTGGTCGGTCAGCTAGGGTGGGTGGTTGGTCGACCAGCCTAAGTGGTTTACAGCCTGCCACCACCTTCTCCTCTTTTTGTAGACCCTTTTTCTCCCCTGCCAGCCAGTTTTTTCCCTTGTCGACCACCTGGGATGGTCGGTCAACTAGTGGCGGTGGTCGGTCGACCGCTCTAAGTGGTCTACGGCATTTTTTTGCCTTTCTGCACTTTCTGCAGATATTTTTGGTGCCAGCTGTGCCAGCTGTTGGGCACAGAATGCGTCCTCCCTACACTGTAGGGAGGGATTCAAGTAAGCTTTGGCTTGCATATTCTATATAAGGGGAGCTCTTTCCCCCTTCCAAGGGTTCAGAATTTTGAGAAGCCAAAAATATCTACTCTCTCTCTAGATTTCTCTCTCTTTATATTGTTGTGTCTTATAGTGCTTAGAATTGCATTTTCTTCACACTTTTGCACACAACCTCTTAACCAAACACTCCTACTTTGTTGCTGAGGTGCTGAAGGGTCTTAAGAGAGCTTCAAAAAACTGGTTTTTGGCTCAAGAAGTTGCTGTTCTTGTTGTTCTTCAAGGGTGAGTCCTATTCCCTCTTTAAAGCTTTGTTTTGGTTGCATATTTGGCCACCTTTACATGCTACTTTTGGCTTAACTCTCAACTACAAAAACCTTTGCTTTGAAGTGTTTAAATTTTTTGTTTAAGGCCTAGTTTGAGTTAGGGGTGGTTTATCCCCTTTGGTGGCTTGTTTTGCTTTGCTTTGTGCCATCCCTTAAGGCCTTTGGGACCATCTCTTTTTGGCCTTCTTACCACTGAAACTCAGAGGAATTTCAATGGTAAAAATATAGTTTTGAGGTCCCAAATGGGTGGGGGTTGCCCCCCCTCTTCTCTTGTTTACATGTGTTGATGGCCCATCAAAAGAGCATGTGTTTCTACTTCTTAGTGGCTTTGTTTAGGCTCATTTTTGTGACTTTTCAGACCTGCCTTCACTCTTTTTTTGGCTGTCTTGGTCACCTCTTGCATGCTTATTGCACTTGTAGTATAATCCTACTTGTAGCCTTGCAAAGTAGCATGTCTTTGTGCCTTGAATTTGCTTAGTTCAAGCATGTTTTTAGCCATTATTTGCCATGTCATAACTCTGTCTTAGGTTGGTTTGGTTGCCTCTTGCATGCTTCACAGACTTGTAGTGCAATCTTGCATGCTAGCCTAGCTCACTTGGTGTTTTGGCCTATCACTTTAGCATGTTTCGGCTCTGCTCCAGCAAGTTTTTACTCATGTTTTGCCATGCTTAAGCTCTGTTTTAAGTGATTTTGGTCATGCATGCCTTGCTTTGTATAGCCATAGTGCAATCTTGCTCACTAGCTTTGAGTTTCAAAGTCTCTAGCATGCTTTACTTGAGTTGTTTGCATGCTTTAGCCTCATCTCTCACATGATTTCAGTGCATGTAGTGTAGACATACTCTCACATGTTTCACTCTTTCAATGCTTTTGGAGAGTTGTCCCTTATGCTTCACTTATGAGCCAATTTGTATGCACGGTTGCCTAAGCTTTTGGGTTATCATCTCAGCGTACTTTTGACCTTATTTTACCATGTTACAGCTCTGATTTTTGTTGGTGAAGTCACCTCATGCTTGGTTTTGGTATGTGTAATGTAATCCCACTCATTGGCCTTGCATGTGTCATGCTTTATGCCTCCCATTCTAGCATGTGTTAGCTCTACTCCATGCATGTTTTGGCATTGTTTTGACCTGCCTTGGGACTATTTTGAGTCATCTTGGCCCTTTGGAGCTTGCTTGATATGGCTATAGTGCAAGTACCTTAGCTAGTCTTGAGTTTTGAGCACCCTACTATGCTA